TAGCTGCATACATTCAGTGAGAGTCAAGGCCAGGCCTGACCACTAGGTATTGATTGGCACCACTTGGACAAGGAAGTCCAGACCCTAAGCTTACATTTCCAGTTTTCCTGATTACAGGAAGGGTCCCCCCATCTCACCCACATCATTGACAAGGGCAGAGCCTGATCCCTAGGGTAACTATTTAGATCACGGAGTACAAACCTTAGACCTGGCATTTCCAGGTCTTCTGATGACATGAAGGATCTCCCATTTCACCAACATCGACGTACGCACACACCCGCGCAGTGCATGTGTGTGTGTGTGTGTGTGTGTGTGTGTGTGTGCAGGCTCGACTGTGCCACAGTGCATGCTCATACATGTGTAGAGGTCAGAGGACGACTTACAGAAGTCAGGTCTCTGCTTCCACAATAGGCTTGTACACCAAGTGCTTTTACCTATTGAGCTATCTTGCCAGCCCAGCCACCAAATTTTTGACAAAGGTGTCGAAAAGATTCATTGGAGAAAATATAGCCCTTTCAACAAATGGTTCTGGGAAAACTGGATACTCACATGTAGAAGAATGAAACTAGACCCATATAGCACATTCCACAAAATCAGTTCAGAATGGATGAGATCTTAATGTAAGACCTGAAACTCTGAAACTATTAGAAGTAAGTAGAGAAAACATTTTAAGATATCAGCATAGGTAAGGACTTTCTGGAAAGGACTCCAATAGCACAGGAAATAATTCCAAGAACTGACAAATGTGTTTGCATAAAATTAAAAAGTTTCTGGGATGGAGGGCTGGAGAGATGACTCAGTGGTTAAGAGGACTGGCTGCTCTTGCAGAGGACCTGGGTTCGGTTCCCAGCACCCACATGGCAGCTGGAGTTTGTGACGCCAGTTCCAGGAGATCTAATGCACTTGTCTGGTCTCTGAGGGCATTGCACAGACATGGTTCATTTACATACATTCAGACAAAATGCTCATACATGTAAAATAAAAATAAAAATAAAAAGTTTCTGAGGGGCTGGGGATATAGCTCAGTTAGTAGAGTACCTGACCAGAATGTACAAAGTCCTGGGCCAGTTCCCCAGTAGTACATAAAAATGGCATGGTGGAGGGGGGCTGGATAGACATCACAGCAGTTAAGAGCAGTGGCTGCTTTTGTAGAGGACCTGGGTTCAATTATCAGCACCCACATGACAGCTTAACAACTCAAGGGGAATTTGATGTCCTCTCCTGACCTCCATGGGCATTGCATGACACAGGTGCACTTACGTACATGTAAGCAATACACCCATACACATAAAAAAACAAAACAAAACCCTGCATGTTAGCACATGCCTTTAATCTCAGTACTTGGGAGGTGGAGGGAGGAGGATCAGAAGTTGTTTAAGTCATTCTTAGTTACATATCAGGTTTGAGGCCAGCCTGGGCTACATGAGACCTTGTCTTTAAAAAAGGGGTGGGGCTAGGGATATGGCTCAGTTGATGAAAAGTACCTGCAGTACCAGCATGAGGACCTAAGTTTGGTTCCCAGTACCCATGTAAAAGCCAGGCATAAAGTCTATAACCCCACTGCTTGAGGGTGGGGGTGGAGACAGGTGGATCCCTGAAACTCATGGACCAACCAGCTTAGCCAAAACCATGAGCTTCATGTTCAGTGAGAGACCTTGTCTCAAAAAATAAGGTAGAAAGTGAAGAGGAAGACACCAGAGGTTGATTTGTGGTTTCTACACATGAACACACATCTCTCTCTCTCTCTCTCTCTCTCTCTCTCTCTCTCTCTCTCTACTCTCTCTCTCTCTCTCTCTCTCTCTCTCTCTCACACACACACACACACACACACACACAGACAACATGGTAGTAGAAGGGGCATTGTGAGGAAGGAGGAAGAGGTCTAAAGGCAGCGAGAGGGTACTGAGGGAAGAATGACATAATATTGCATGTTTTCTCTCCAGTGTAGAATCTGGATTTTAAAAAAAGATGTATATGTGCCATGAACAACAGGAGAGGAACCCTTTAGGAGCCAGAGGGGGACTGGTGAGAGCGGGGAATGTAGGGACAGGAGAGGGTACAGCGATGTGCATCTATGAAAAATTTCATAATGAAACTCAGGACCTGGGTTTGGTTCCCAGCACCCACATGGTAGCTAACAACTATCCTTAACTCCAATTCCAGAGGATCTGATGCCCTCTTCTAGCCTCCTTGGGCATTGCATGACATGGGTACACTTGTTTAAGTGCAGGCATGCAGACAAACACTCATACACATAAAATAAAAATTTAAATGTGCACAGGATTGGCAAGATGGCTCAGCAGGTAACAGCGGGTTGTCCTCTGACCCTCGTGCAAGTGCTGTGGCACATGCACATGTGTCCCCCATATAAATAAATATAATAAAAATATGTGTGTAGCCACCCCTCACCATCCCCCAAAGAATACCTTATTCTTTAGATACATGGAAAAAAATTTTTTTTGGTCTTTTTGAGACAGGGTCTCCCTGTAGCCGCAGCTGTCCTGGAACTCACTATTACACCAGGCTGGCCTTGAACTCACAGAGATCCGCCTGCCTCTGCCTTCTGAGTGCTGGGATTAAAGGCGTGTGCCACCATGCCCAGTGGGGGGGAAAATCAGTCTTCTTACTAGTGTTCCAACCCAGGAATGTTTTTCTCAGGGTTCTAGGAGCAAACTCTTTGAAATGTAATGATCAGAAATGATGGTGCACTATCTTCCTTCTAGTCTATGTTGGAGGGGAGGACCCCAGCTTCAATGATGTCTAGCTTCATTCTGCAAATATTTCTGCAACGTATATTTGAAAAATTTGTTTTATTTTGGATAATACAGGTGGCTAGCTCATTTACAAGGTGGATTTAGAGTGAACTCTGTGTGAAATTGGTGCTGTAGAGGACTGGTTTATCTTGAGAAAGTATGTGATAGGTTGTATCCACTTGTATATAAAGGGTAAGATTGGGGCTGACAAGATGGCTCAGCCGGTAAATATGCTTGCCACCAAGCTGATGACCTAAGTTCAATCCCCAGGACCTACATGGTGGAAGGAGAGAATCAATTCCTGCAAATTATCCTCTGACCTTTACACATGCTGTAGTGCCCATACACCCATACACTCACACACACACACACACATACACACATTTATATAATTCTATTAATAAGTAAATTTTTTGGTAAAGTTTTTATTGAAATTTTCTTGTATTTCATAAGGAACATCTTAATCAGTCTTAATCATCTTTATACCCCCTTCCCCATTGGCACCCTCCCATAGCCCCCCTCCCACCCCATTGGAATTCATACACTTTGTCATTTGTTAGGCCTATTGTGTCAAGTTAAGTGTCCCCAGATGTCCCTTAGTGCAAGCTCATCCACTGGGGTCTAGGCCCTTTCCTTTAAGAAGATTAGCTCTTCCTCACCCAGAAAAGATTTTTCTTTTTTAAGGATAATATTTGTCTTTGTAATCTCCTTTTTTTTTTTTTGGTCTTTTTGAGACAGGGTCTCTGTGTAGCCCCAGCTGGCCTGGAACTCACTATGTAGACCAGGCTGGCCTTGGACTCACAGAGGTCTACCTGCCTCTGCTTCCCGAGTGCTGGGACTAAAGGCATGCACTACCATGCCTGGCTTGTAATCTCTTTTTTTAAAAAAAATATTATTTTTATTTTATGTGTATAAGTGTATTGCCTGCATGTGTGTAAGTGCACCCATGTCATGCAGTGCCCGTGGAGGTCAGAAGAAGGCGTTGGATTCCCCTGGAACTGGAGTTACAGATGGTTGTTAACCACCATGTGGGTGCTGGGAATTGAACCCAGGTCCTCTGCAAGAGCAGTCAGTGCTCTTAATTGCTGAGACATCTCTCCAGCCCCTATCTTTTAAATCTCTTTAGTAAATGGCCTGCCATACATATCACATTTTGGTTTAATGCTTATTAAATAATATAGTTCTTTTAATCTTGGAAACAGGGTTTCTGGGTTGGAAAGAAATTTCTTTCTACCTGTCCTGGAGATCAAACCTTGAGCCTCACACATACCAGGCAAATGTTCTACCAGGGAGGTATGTCCCCAAACTTAAGATCTCGTTTTTAATTATATTTCCTTGGTAAGTCTTTTTTAAAGTTACGGTTGTGCTATGTAGCTCAAGGTCAGCCTTTGACTTGCTGTGCATCACAGGTTGATCTCAAACTCACAATATTCCTGTCTCGGCCTCTTAAGGGTTGGGATTACAGGTGTGTAGCACCTTGCCCAGCATGCCTAGCCTTTTCCCAGCTCTCTTCACCATATTTCCCAGCACTCTGACCTCCTCCAAATAAGCCTTGCCTCTGTTTCCTGATAATGAGTTTTAAGTCTCCATCACCAGTATGGGGGGCTGTCTATAGGGGTTGAACTGCCCTGTTTGAATCTCACTGCCAGCACAGGAGCTAAATGCCAAGTGAGAGTTGGCTAAAGGAAGGAAAGAAAGAGGGAAGGGAGGAAAAAAAACAGATGAATGATTCTGAGAAATATCCTCCCAACTGCTGGGCCTTAAAAAGTACAAGACACTTGGGCACACTCAAGAGTTTCTTTTTGGGGGCCAATGAGATGGCTCAGTGGGTGAAGGTACTTGCCACAAAGCCTAAGGACTTGAGTTTGAACCCAGGGCCCATATGGTGGAAGGAGAGAATCAATTCCTGCAAGTTGTCCTCTGACCTCTGCGTGCACCCACACATATACAAAATAAACAAATTATTAAAAGTTTATTATTTATTTTTTGCTTAACTTTTGAGACAAGATCTCCTAGGTAGCCCAGGCTGGCCTGGAACTTGCAATCTTGCCTCTTCTTCCCAAGTGTTGGGATGATAGGTATACACTAATCACATTTGGCAAGGATTTCTAAAAACACCATCTGAAACTCAAAATATAAAATCAGTTTAAGAGACTGTAGGGAACATAAAAGGCTAGTGGTGGGCTGGAAGAAGCAGTGTTTGGCTCTGAGTATGAAGGAGGGCCAGCCTATGGAGGTAGGGGTGATGGAGAAGTGCTGGGGGCCAAGGATGGAGAAAGACTGAGCTTTTCTGCTTTTCTGTTAGATTTTAGTGGTGAGTTCTTTTCATCTGAATAGGACAGGGCCTTCAAGATGCAAGGACCCAGGAAGTCCTAGAAACCCTCCTGTTCTTCTATTCCATGGACCCGGAGCCCCTGAAAGAGGGCAAAGTCAAAGGGTGATCCAAAGACACAGTCATCCTCCTGGCTTGGGGGTAGGGACACAAGGGTCTCCAGGGGGCTAGGCTGGAACCAAAGGTTTTCATATGACTTAGGACTGGGTGTGAGGCCACCCAGGAGGGGCTGAGTGGAGTCACAGCGAAGGTATTGACCAGGTCCTGGGCTGGTGGGGCTGCCCAGTACCTGCCCATAAAGGACTTGGTCACTGGTGCCAGATGGGGGCTGGAACTGGATGGAAGATGCTTTTGGGGCCCCTTGGAGTACGTAGGCCTGGACTAGGGTGGGGAAGCTGCAGGCCTCTGAGCTGTCACTAGAATCCCAGGATGTTGACTTCTTCTCTTCCTCCAGCACAGTGATCTTGGTGATGGATGGTATGCTGGGGTCCCAGAGGCTGGGCACCTGGAAGGTTTCCTAAACACAAGGACATGAAGTGAGGATATACTTTATCTCCAGTGTCTGACCCAGACATTATCTATTCCTGAGTTAAAGCAGTTGTGGGGCTCTTCCTGATGTGTGGTGGAGCACAAATCCATCTACTTGCCTAGTGCCTGTGTGTTCCTAACCCGTGAGACTCCCTGCAGCGCCCACGCATCCATTGCATTGTGAAGCAACGAAGTTTGAGATTGAAATTCAGGCCTACATCCCTTCAAAGGGGTGGGGGTGGGGGCACTGGTTGGAAGTGAGGCTTATGCTGTGTGCCCCTCAGAAGGTATCCATTTAGTGACTGTCCCTCAGCTACCAGCTACAGTCTATACCCCTCTCTACCTAATGCTCACCTCTGCCATGACGGTGGGAACCCAGGAGCCCAGGCTGCTGTGAGCTGGGTCAGGCACACTTGGCCATAAGGAATTCTTCCTGCTAGAGAAGAGGGCAAGTAAAGGCCAGGTCAAGTCTGGGCCTGGAAGGGACTAGATTTCTCACCACCTCACTCATGGGTGACAGTCTCAAAAACACTCACCTAGGCTTGCAGCAGAACCAGACAGTTGCACAGAGGCTGATGAACAAAACCAGAAAGCCAAATAGGCCCAGGAGGATGTATAGCTCAGATGCCCCTGGGACCAGGGAAGGCAAGGGGAGGTTAGTGCACAGCAATCTCTAAAAAAAATTTTTTTTTGTCTTTTTGAGACAGGGTCTCCCTGTAGCCCCAGCTGGCCTGGAACTCATTACGTAGACCAGGCTGGCCTCGAACTCACAGAGATCTGCCTTTAATCCCAGCACCCGGGAGGCAGAGGCAGGCAGAGCTCTGTGAGTTTGAGGCCAGCCTGGTCTACATAGTGAGTTCCAGGCCAGCTGTGGCTACAGGGAGACTGTCTCAAAAAGACCAAAAATAATTATATTAATTTTATGTGTATGAGTGTATTGCCTGCATGTGTGTAAATGCACCTGTGTTGAGCAATGCCTGCAGAAGTCAGAAGGCATTGGACCCCTTGGAACTGGAGTTACAGGTGGTTGTTAGCCACCATGTGGGTGCTGGGAATGGAACGTGGGTCCTCTGCAAGATCAGTCAGTATTCTTAACCACTGAGCCATCTCTCCAGCCCCGACACAATCTACTTTTAAATTTCCATCTGACTGTATTAGGAGGCATTATATTGCACAAGTTCTTCTGAAAGTTGGGGACATGGGAACTGACAATGTTGTTGATCTCTGTGATACATGTTTAGGTACGTTCTGGGGATCAAACTCAGGTCCACAAGCTAAAAAAAAGATTTATTTATTTTGTTTTTTTTGAGACATGGTCTCCTTGTAGTCCCAGCTGGCCTGGAACTCACTATGTAGACCAGGCTGGCCTTGAACTCACTGTGTAGACCAGGTTGGCTGAGTGCTGGTACTAAAGGCATTTGCCACCACACCTGGCCACTTACTTACTTTAATTTTGCCCTCATGTAAGTGTACATTGAGTATGCAGTGCCTGTGGAGGCCAGAAGAGGGCACTGGATCCCCTGGAGCAGGAGTTACAGATGGTGGTTAGCCACTATGTGGATGTTAGGAACTGAACCTAGGTCTTCTGTAAGAGCAGTTAGTCCTTTTAATCATAGAGAAATCTCTCTAGACCTCAGTTTGCAGCTTTTAACTGTAGGTCATGACCCTGTAGGGTAACTGAATTTGGAAGTAGTGAAAATTTTGGTAGCAATAAAAGTTTCTGGAGCCGGGTGTGGTGGCGCATGCCTTTAGTCCTAACACTTGGGAGGCAGAAGCTGGTGGATCTCTGTGAGTTCAAGGCCAGCCTGGTCTACGTAGTGAGTTCCAGGCCAGCTGGGGCTACAGGGAGACCCTGTCTCAAAAAAAAAAAAAGTTTCTGAAAGTGCAAAACCAAAAATTGATTAAAAATCAAATAGGAAATGAATCTGAGAAGTTTCTGGCAGTGCTCACCCGTGTTATATCATGTGACTTCACTGCACCCTGGTTCTGAAGACAAACATATGCAGTTTGCACTGCGTAGAGTGGCAACGGACACTGGCCAAAACACCGGCTCAGAATCAAGACTATCATATGCTGTGAATTATGGTGTTTTGACTGTATGTACGAAGTTTTCTGCTCTAACAGAAGCATACTGGTTTAATTATGGAAAACAAAGCTTTTAATATATTTTCCTACCATCATTTCTTAGCATGTGAATATCAAATTAGTGTATCTTTGAATTATATCATGTTAGAATGTTTGATTTTAAAAATTGCTGTTTTGAGTTTCTGACTTGAGTTAAAAAAATCATTAAATGAGTTTGAGATTAGGACAGAATTTCCAACAATTTCTGAAATGGCCCCCAGCATACTTCTGCTATTTTGTACAACATATTTATGTAAAGTTGTATTCTCAGCTTTGATGAGTAAAAAATCAAAATATTGACCAACTCTGAAAAACATCAAAGATGCACTATACTCTGCAGTATCTAATATTCAGTCAATATTTAATTATTTATGTAAAAAATAATTCATTTCATTACAGGTTTATGTTAGTCTTTAGTAAATGATAAAATTATACATATACCAAATAATTGTTTTAAAATAAACTTCTTTATGATTTTTTAAAATCAGAAAATGCTTGATCTATGTGTCTATTTTACATTCCTACATACCAAGGACTGTGTAAAAATTTCTTGGGTGAAGCCAGGCATGGTGCTCATGCCTGTAGCCCCAGAACTTGGGAGGCAGAGGCGGGTGGATCTCTGTGAGTTTAAGGCCAGCCTGGTCTACATAGTGAGTTTCAGGCCAGCTGGGGCTACAGGGAGACCATGTTTCAAAAAGACCAAAAAAAAAAAATTCTTGGGTGAAAACGGGTCAAAAGTGGAAAAGGTTAGGGGCTGGAGAGATGGCTCAGTGGTTAAGAGCAGTGGCTGCTCTTCCAGATGACGTGGGTTTGATTCCCAGCACCCACATGGGATCCAATGCCTACTTCTGGCCTCTGAAGGCATTGCATATACAGGCATACTTACATACATGCAGGCAAAACACTCATACCCATAAAGTAAAAATAAATAAGTAAATAATTTTTTTTTGTCTTTTGAGACAGGGTCTCTTTGTAGCCCCAGCTGGCTTGGAACTCAATATGTAGACCAGGCTGGCCTTGAACTCAGAGAGATCTGCCTGCCTCTGCCTTCCAAGTGCTGAGATTAAAGGCATGTGCCACCATGCCTGGCCCAAATAAGTAAATTTTTAAGTGGAAAAAGTTTATGAAGCTCTGGGTTGGAGTACATGTAAGTCAGGGACAATGAGTGGGGCTAGGTTTCTTTCCCCAGGAGGGGATTCTTGGATGGGCACAAGTCTCTTCCCCTAAACCTGCAGATGCAGAGGTAGTTCCCTATTACTTTGAAAATTAGAATTGCTTGAGGCAGGGGTCACCCTCCCAACAGCCACCACTGCCAGTCTGCCCCCTTACCTAGGGTCAAGGTCATCAGGGTGAGGCCCGTACTGTTGGTGGCTCCTGCCCGGCTGGTGGCCATAAGGATGACATGATACAAACTGGCAGGCTCCAGGTTGTGTAGGACAAAGCCGTGGGAGGAGGTATTCATGATGGTGGCTGTGGGTAAGGTAAATGGTTAGCCTGGGGTGCTAAAATGCCTCTATGATAGCTGAGCCTTCTGGGCTGTGGGCTGTGGGCAGCTGAGGAGAGACTCACAGAAGGACTGGTTTTGAGCGTTGGTCCAGAAGATGGTATAGTGGGTAAGGGGTGTCCTCCCCAGCTCAGGGGGCTTGGGCACCCACTCCAGCTGTGCCCAGGTTCTGCCAATCTGCTTTAGATGCAGCTCCGGGGCATGAGGAAAGGCTGTGGGGAGAGAGAGGTAGATGGGCTGAAGGGAATGAGGCAAGTGAGTGTGACTGGGCTCTGGTGGGCTGCTGGACCCAGGATCTGGGACGCACTGTGGACAAGTGAGAAAGGAGTCCAAGAAGCCAAGCATGGTAGTGCATGCCTATAATCCTAGCACTCTAGGGATGAGGCAGGATGATTGCTGTGAGTTTGAGGCCAATGTGGGCTATAGTGAAAGACCCTTTCTTTCTTTCTTTCTTTCTTTCTTTCTTTCTTTCTTTCTTTCTTTCTTTCTGGGAGGAACCGCCGCGGCTGGGAAGGCGGAGCGGACTGTGCGTGGGTGCCACAGCTTATTGGTCTTGCTCCCTTTCTTTTTTTTTTGAGATAGGATCTCTCTGTAGCCCCAGCTGACCTGGAACTTGCTATGTAGACCAGGCTGGCCTTGAACTCACAGAGATCCCCCTGCCCCTGCCTCCTGAGTGCTGGGATTAAAGGCGTGTGCCCGGCTGAGACCCCTTAAAACAACTGCAACAGGGGCCAGCAAAATGGTTCAGTTGGTAAAGCCTTTTCCCGTAATTTAAAAAAATGCTTTCAAGTTTATTGTTTCTTTAAAAATTCAGTCTTTTAGCTGTGGGATCCTGTAAACTTACAATGTTATATACTTCATTATTTAAAAAATGAAATACCAGAGCATAAAAACAATTACACTATGGAAAAACTAAAGTCCAGCAGTTTAGCTCAGTGCCTGACATCTGGCACTCACTCATGGTCTCTGGGCACCAAAGGGCTTGTGTAGCTCTACCTCTCCACCTCTTCCATCCACATCACACACAGCTTGTTTCATGGGCCCAGGCTAGCTCCACTTCACAACTGCAGTTGTCTTTGGCAGATGTCCCACAGTCCTGTCATCTCTAATATCCTGGGGTTTCTACTACAACTCAGGCTGCACCTTCACCTTTTTCTTTTTCCATCTCACTTCAGGTACTCCAACCCTGCCATATAGTTCCAGGCCTCAGGTACTCTCCATGACCCCTTCATGCCTTCAAAATCAGGACCATGTAGAAGTTTCCTATACATTGTTTACCAAGTTCTGCTACCAGCTTCATATGTAGCTTTGGCCCTTTTGAACCACAGCTTCTGTGTGCTGGGCCTGAGGAAATACTTCCCACAGAAGATTTCACCTCAGTGATACTGATCTCTTACCAATCACAGCTGGTTTCTCAGGTCCAGCTGATCAGGATTCATTATTTCAGTAATGCACAGAAAGTTTCACTTTAGTGAGGTTGGTATTTTTTTAAAAAATATTTTATTTATTATTTTTATTTTATGTGTGTATGAGTGTATTGCCTGCATGTGTGTAAGTGCACCTATGTTATGCAATGCCCATGGAAGTCAGAAGAGGGCATCAGATACCTGGGACAGGAGTTACAAATGGTTGCTAGCCGCTATGTGAGTGCTGGGAATCAAACCCGGGTCCTCTGCAGGAACAGCCAGAGCTCTTAACCACTGAGCCATCCCTCCAGCCCCAGGTCTTTTCTTAATCATAGCTGATTCTTTAGCTCCTAATAGAGTCTTTGCTTCCCTCTGAAACTTTGCAGCCAAATCTTCATTATCTGCATTTTTCAGCATTCTTATCTTCATGTTCCCACTAGAACATCTTAAGCTCTGAGTACTCACTGGCTTTTCCAGCTCAAAGTTCCAAACACTTCCACAATCCTTCCAAAAAAACAACACGGTCAAGTACGTCATAACAACCCCCACTCTCCTGATACCATTTTCTGTTCTAGTTTGCTTTAATGTTGCTCTGATAAACACCATGACCAAGAGGAACTTGGAGGAAAGGGTTTATTTGGTTTACACTTCTGATGTCACAGTCTGTCATTGAGGGAAATCAGAGCAGGAGCTCAAGGAAAAACTGAAGCAGAAACCATGGAGGAATGCTTTTTACTGGCTGGCTCCCTTATAAAGGCCCAGTACCACCTGCCCTGGTATGGCACTGCTCACAGTGAGCCAGGTCTTCCCACATCCATCAACAATCAAGACAATTCCTCACAGACATGGCCACAGGACAGTCTGATCTATGTAATCCTCCGATTGAGACTCCCTCATCCCAGGTGACACTGGATTGTGTCAAATTGATAACAAAAAGAACTAGCACAGCCCATAGCTGTCAGCTTGACACACAAATATGTCACTGCTAAACCATAGCCTTTCATTTCTAGTCCCCAATATCTTAAGTTACTGTTACAATGTAAGAGTTCAACTTTTAAAAATGTCACAGTCTTTAGAAATTTGAACACTTTAAAAGTCCAGCTGGACATGGTGGTACACACCTTTAATCCTAGCACATGGGAGGCAGAGGAAGGCATAGCTCTTTGAGACTGAGGCCACCTGGTCTACATAGAGAGTTCCAGACCAGCTGGGGCTATAGAATACCCTGTCTCAAAAAATAAAACAAAACAATAAGACAACAATAAAAAAGTCCAAGATCTCTTTAAAAATCCAACATTTCTTAACTGTGGACTCCTGTACAATCAAAAGCAAGTTACATACTTCTTATTCTAAAAGGGAAGAACCAGGGCACAAAAACAATCACATGAGGGCAAACCCAAATCTAGTAGTATAAATCCAAATTCTAGAGCTTCATGTCCAGCATCTGGAACTCTCTTGTGATGGGCTCCAAAGGACTTGGGTAGTCCCACCTCTCCAACTCTGCTATTAGCAGCACCACAGCTTGTCTAGTAGGCTCAGGCCAGTGCCAGTACACACCTGCTTCTGTTTTTGGTGGATATCGCATGATCCTGGCATCTCCAATATCCTGGGGTCTTCACCGCAACTGAGGCTGCACCTTCACCAATGGCTTCCTGGGGTCTCTGCAGAGACTCTAACCCTACAATGCCAAGCCTCAGTTGCTCTCCAGGACCCCCCTTCATGCCTTCAAAACCATATGGGAGACTCTTAAACATTATTTGCCAAGTTTTGATGCTGACTTGATGTCTTGCCTTGGCCCCCTTGGACCACAGCTTCTATGTGCTGGCCTTGAGGAAATACTTCCCAGAAGATTTTACCACAATGATGATGATCTCTTGTTAATCACAGCTGATTTTCAGCCCAGCTGACCAGCATCCATTGTCTCAGTAAAACGCAAAAGGTTTCACTTAAGTGGTACCGGTCTCTTGTTAATCATAGGTGATTCTTTAGTCCCAGGTGATCAGTAACCACAGATTCTAAATCCAAAGTACCAAAAGAATGGCCTAGGAGAGTCTTTATTTCCCTCTGAAACTTCATGAGCCAGGCCTCCAATGTCTGCATTTTTATCTTCCAAATTCCTACAGAACAGCTCATTAATCCCTGAGCGCTCAGTGACTTTTCCAGCTCAAAGTTCCAAACACTTCCATAATCCTCCCCAAACCAAAATAACATAGGTCAAGTCCATTACAGCAACGCCTCATTCCTGATACCAATTTATATCCTAGTTTCTTTCTGTTGCTGTGATAAACATCATAATCAAAAGCAACTCAAGAAAGAACTGAAGCAGGAGCCATAGAGGAATACTGCTTACTGACTTGCTCTCTGGCTTTCTCTTTTATATAATGCAGGACCACCTGCCCATATATGAGATTGTCCTGACAGACATGGCCACAGGCCAGTCCAATCTGTAATTTCTCAAGAGAGGTTCCTTCTTCTCAGGTAACTCTAGATTGTGTCAAGTTGACAATAAAAACTAACTGGCACGGCATATAAAGGTGGAAAGAGAGAACCAACCCCACAAAGTTATCCTCTGACCTCCACATATACACTGTGGTATACATATACCCACCCACCCATACCATGCATGAATAAT